CAGCATTAGTGCCTGCATTCCAGTCCATCTCTTAAAATAGTGCTTGCAGCATTTTTGCGGATCGCACTGGAACGGAACGCAGGCACTAATGTGCCTGGGTTCCGGGTGCAGGCGATCGCACTGCGGGCGAGGGGCCTGGCTGCGGTGCCTGGCTGCAGTGCCATTGACTTCAATGCACCACCACACCACCTCCCGCCGCTGAATGCAGGTGTTTTTTCATTGGTAGATCTCATTGAGCTCGTCATTTGAAAAGTAGATCTCCAGACGAAAAATTGTGGGCGCCCCTGATTTTCTGAGATACATGACCAGTCTTAGCAAATTTCCTATAAAAACCAATAGGCTATGCTTGCCATCACACAACCTCTTATAAAAGCATGAGGGGGTCCCTGAGGATTCTTCAGAAAAGGGAAACCCATCTACAGACCACAAAGAGAGGATTAGTAAAGATCATAAACTATTCCTACATCTTATCCCTTAAATCTGAATCATATCACTCATTACTCAGGAGTAGGAAAGGAACCAGGAAAGGAACCCCATTCTTCTAGCATTAGAGGACTATAATAACAGGAATAATAATCAAATAAGAACAATTACTTCCTAGAGTCCTTAAGCACACAAATGTAAACACAGGGGCCCGCTGTCACATTCACAGCCCAAGTTCCGGTTTGTGTAGCAGAGCCGCTGTTATAGCTTTATACAGGGATAAGGCCGGTGAGAATGTAAAGAAGAATGTTAGGCCTGGTTCACACCTGGACGTTTTACAGCACGTTCCTACGCTCTGTAAAACGCTCAACATGTGAAAACCAATGATTGCCTATGGGCATGGTTCCCACCTGGGCGGCAAACGCTCTACGCCCAAAGAAATACAGGAGCTTCTTTGGGGCGTATTTGCTGCGCGTATCCATTGGGATACAGCCAGGTAGCCCTCGGAAACGTGCGTTTGCCGCTCATTTTTTTAACCGCGAAACGCGCGACAAACGCGCATATTCGATATGCCTAGGTGTGAACCCAGCCTTACATTGTATTTAGCTGCACCTGGGTATCTTTTATTTTATACAGAAATCACTGAAAATAATGTAAAAAAAGGTTTATTTTTTACATAAAATTCTTCCCTATTAAATCTTTTGTTAACCCCAACAAGAAATAGTTTAAAGGGTTATTAAACCCTCATGTGTTTTTGCATATATTATATATATATATATAAGGATAGCAAGCAGTGGATATATGCAAATCTTTAAAAACAAAACCTTTTGAAAGAGGTTTAAACTTACCTGTGTCTTCGCCGCATCCTCCCGGCTGAACATCTGAATAGTCTCGGGCGGCCGCAAAGGATCTTGGTGCGGGCGCATGTGCAGTGCAGATGTTCGGCCGGGAGACGAGGAGAGACACAAGGTAAATCTATGGAGCGGCATGCACCCGCAGAGACTCCGTGGGACATGAGCGAAGAGAAGGACAGAGGAGTCAGCGCTGGATTAGAGACCCGCACCAGCGTTGGAAGGACAGCTGAAAAGGACAGTAAGGAAGAAGATGATCGAATAAAGAGGCATGATTTAAGGTAAGTCCTGACACTAACATTGGGGTGGGGAAAAGAAAAACAGCCTTTAATGTCACTTTAAGTACCGTATTTTTTGATCCATAAGACACACTTTTTCCACCCAAAAGGGGGGCAAAAATGTCTGTGCGTCTTATGGAGCGAATCCCTATCGCCCGACACCCCGGGGGGAAATGCAGTTTTGGCTGCCGGGCGAGTAGTTTTTTTGTACATTCAGCCCTGCTCCGGACAAGCAGAGCTAAATGTACAGCGTGGGGCCGCCACTCGTTTATTACAAGTAATCTAATCAGATCACTTGTATCAAATCGAGCGACGGCGGCGATCGTGTCCGGGGGGCCCCCGCTGTGGTTTTCGGGGACCCCCACTCCTCTGAGGGACCCATGACCACGGCATGGGAGCTCACCACAGAGCTCGTAGAGCAGACGAAGAACGTCCGTTCTTCGTCTGCTCTGTGTGATCACTGAGACAGGTGGCGCTGTAATCACAGTGCCGCCTGTCTCAGCTGTCACTAGCTGCAGCTGTTGTCACAGAACCCATGCGTCCTATGGTCCGGTGCACATGGAGAGCAAAATACTGTATATCTAAACCCAAAAATGCAAATGATAACTGAACTCCAGGTATAAATTTGCATGCATACGTACACGGCTCCACTGTGGCCCATATGTAAGTATGGATATTCTATACACGGTTAGCCTGGATCCTGTGGAGTGCTCTAGTAGCCGGAGCTATTACAGTGCTTTACAGTGATCTTCCAGATACTATATAGTCCTGTGCTGAGCAGCTTCCCCTCTGCTCTGAAGACAAAGGGGGTTGCTCACTCGGTACAATGTCCATTCAGAGAATGCCTAGTATGTTTATACAAGGTGTTCTTTATACGTTGTACACCAAAAATTAAACTTGTATTGCAGGGGGTGTCTGTATTTTGACTTCAAGCTCTGTGCAGACTTCTGGGTAGAAAACTCAGTCAGCCAATCACAATCCCAGAAGATGAGATTCCTTCAGATGTTTTGTACACAAAGAGTAAACAAAGCAAGATAGCCATGACTGCATGAAAATGGCAAGGCAAGTATTATTTGCATGAAATTACAAAGCAGCTTGTAGAGCAATTAATATTATTATCATTATAGTTTTATTTGGAGAAATTGGAATTTTTTTTTTAAAACATGCAAAACAAGAAGTGCACAAGCTTCTCATTGAACCTGGCATCAAGGAAACGGCTGGCCAGCTGTGTACTGATTTTGAAGTAAGCACGCTGCCTTAATAGAGTCTACGTTGCTTGAAATGCTCTCCATATTTCAATATGTTTGTTAATGGCTCTCTGAATATCTTGGTTCCTCAGGCTGTAGATCAGAGGGTTGAATAACGGCGTCACCAGAGTGTAAAGCAATGACAGACCCTTGTTGACATGGACCGAATTGCTGCTCGGCGGAAAAATATAAATGGACGTTAGTGTCCCATAATAAACACCCACAACGGTTAGGTGGGAGCTGCAGGTAGAGAAGGCCTTCTGCCTCCCGGTGGTGGACGGGATCTTCAGGATGGTGTGAAGGATGGACATGTAGGTGGCCGAAATGAAGAGGAACGGAGAAAGGATGATGGGGAAGGACACCAAAGAAGTGACCAATTCAACAGCTGCTGTGTCTGAACATGAAAGTTCTACCACTGGAGCAATGTCACAGTAGAAATGATTGATAATATTCGGACCACAAAACTCTAATCTGGATAGGAAAATATATATTATAGATGACAGCGTAAAGCCCAGCAACCAGCAAGAGGTGACCATCTGAACTTGGTTTTTAAAGGTCATGATGATGGTGTAATGTAATGGTTTGCAAATAGCCACTTGTCGATCGAAGGACATTGCAGCCAACAACAAGCACTGAGCGATGGTCGGGACACCTAACAAATAGAACTGGGAAATACATCTGCTGACTGACACTTTACCACCACCAACCAGTATCAGCCATAACATGTTGGGCACTATGTTACTGGTGAAGAGGATTTCAGACAAGGACAGCTGGCTGAGAAAGAAGTACACGGGACAATGGAGACTCTGGTTGACCACCACCAAGACGATGATGAGAAAATTGCTGGATAAAGCCATAATATGAATGATCAAAAATAGGACAAATACTAAAATTGTCAAGTTATGGAGCTTTCCGAATCCCAAGAGCAGGAATTCTAAGACTACTGTTTGGTTCCTCTCCACCATCGCCTGAAGACCAGAAGGTATCAGAAGATCGGAGCAAAGCGGGAAAAAGTAAGAACAATAATTGCTTCTGAAAATAAATAAGGCAAAACAAAAATATTTAATAATGAAAAAGGAAATGCCAGAAGTGAATGCTATTTGGACATGTTCATGCGATTTGCCAATTCAGAATTTATGGACAATTTTTGACTTAAAGTATAATCAAATCTTCCCACTCATGATGAACGAATTAGCCTGGGTTTGATTAGACATTTAATTTCTTAGACAAGGAAAATTATTCTCATAAAAATAATAATACAATGTAAAATGTTACACCTGGTGATCAACCCTCCAAAATATTTATCAATTTTCTTTTTCAAAATTGTAATAGGATTCCTTTTAAGACATTAGCTGTCAAAAAAAAACCCCACCTGTATTATTTGACTTTGAAAATAATTAAAGTCACACTAAACTCTGAAGTTAACAGGGTTATTCACCAGAGGGGTGAAGAGTTTGGAGAAGGCAGGAGAAGTGAACAATCTAGGCCAAAATAGCTGATTTGGAAAAATTCTCCAATTCAGCTCACTGTCCGGTTCAGCTATGTTGTCCGAGATTGTTCACTTCTCCTCCCTTCACCAAACTCTTCACCCTTTTGTGAATAACCCTGAAAATCTTAAAAATCCATTCAAGTACCTTAACTATGAACAAGAATGTATCTTTTTTGTGTATCACTCGGCTGTACATCCTCCAATCATCTCTGAATTGGTGCTGACACTGTCATTCCTTCTGGAGGGGGGCTACTTCTGTTCCCCATGGTCCCTGTGTGTGTGTTGTAAAGTAGCCACCGCTCCAAGCTACCCCCTTGGGATGGACTACAAGCTCTTGTTTAGTTTACTTATTTGTATTGAGCTTGTAGTCCATCCCGGGAGCGAGCTTGGAGCGGTGACTACTTTAAAACACACACAGGGACCATGGGGAACAAAGTAGCCCCCCTCCAGAAGGAAGGACAGCGTCAGCACCAATTCAGAGATGATTGGAGGATCTACAGCCGAGTGATACACAAATAAGATACATTTCTGTTAATAGATAAGGAACTTGAATGGATTTTTAATAGTTAAGTGTCACTTTAAGGTGAAAAAAAGCACCCGGACCCAATGACTTACACCCACGTGTCCTTAAATAATTTACCTCTTTTTATCTCAAAGCCATTGTATCTAATTTTCGGAGATTCTTTAATGATTTGGTTCCAATGGATTGGCGCAAGGCCAATGTGCCCTTTCATATACAAGATAGATAAATAGATTTTGTACCTGAGAAATCATCATTTGTTCACAGAATGATAAATACAATAACGTCAGTAGGATGGTTTATATTATGTTTTGTATACTCAAGAGGATTACATCCCCATCTGGTTAGAGAGATGAATTCATTAAATCTAATATCAGAAGACTGATTAAAGAATGTTACTCATTTTTAAACTAGGGCTTAGAGAATTGATGTTGTTTCGGTAGCAACGCAGGTTATTTCTGTTCAATTAACGAAAACAACTCCATGACGGAAAAAAACAACTTCTCAAAGTAAGACACTCCTATACAAATACCCACCAACTAAAAGTTGTGTAAACCTTGGGTGAAAACATTGATAGATAGACCCCCCTAGGCATGTCCACCACCCTCATCCATGAGACTCAAGCCTGGAGATTGGTTCAAGCGCTGCATTGTGGGAGTAAGGTGGCCCATCCACTTAAAGGTGATGGATTTTTGAGGGGGCTCCACCAGTGGATTGGGGTCCACCAGTAGGGTGAGGATGGTAAGAAATGTAACAATTTTATGTTACATTTATTGGTTACTTTTTTTGTCAGTGCAGCAGTGCTGTAAAGTAAACTTCTACTTTCTTTTACAAAAAAAAATTGATATGACCCATGCCTGCTTAATTTGCCATGGGATCATTTAGAGCAGGGGTGCCCATAAGGTCGATCGCGATCTACCAGTCGACAGCGTAGCAATCAGCGGTAGATCTCGATGGCCTCTCCTCCCGCCCGTGGTGCTTCTCTGGATCCCCGCTGCTCTCCCCATCTGTATGAGCGGGGATCCAGAGAAGAAGTGAAAGAACCACTGCAGCCCGCGGCGGAGGACGGAGCCGCTGTCACAGAACTAAGGCCGATCAGTCAGGAGAGAGAGAGAGAGACGCTCGGCCAGGTTCTGACAGCCGGCGCCTCTCTCTCTCCTCACCGCTCGGCTTTAGTTCTGTGACAGCGGCTCCACCCTCCACCACGGGCTGCAGCGGTTCTTTCACTTCTTCTCGGATCCCCGCTGCCTCTGTTCAGGAGAGCAGCGCAGATCCAGAGGAAAAGATGAGCCCCCCTGTACGTGGTCGAGCAGCAGAGGATCGGTACACATCAGAGATATCTACCAATCCACTGTGCAGGACAAACACTGGAGCGGTCAGCTGATCACTCCAGTGTTTGTAAATAACTGGGGACACATAGTACTATGTGTCCCCAGTTATGAATGAAAGCCGGCTCCCTGGGGGCGGGAATGTAAGCCGGCCGGCGTTCAGGGGCGGGAGGGGGCGTGGGGTTGTATTGAAGTCAATGGCACCGCAGTCATGCCCCCCGCCCACATTGCGGTTGCCCGCACCCGGAACGCAGGCACATTTGTGCCTGCATTCCGGTCCAGTGCGATCTGCAAAAATAGTGAAATTGTAGAAATGTCACCAGCACACCAATCCTTTTAAGATAGACGCCCTGCTATAAAGGCTGATTATAGATTCATGCATGTACCATCTTTTCCAGTTTAAAGTTTTGGAACCTGTCCGGTGCCTTCATCAGTCAAATTCCTGATGTTAAAGGGGGGAATTCTGATGTTAAAGGGGGGAACTCTGATGTGAAGGAGGAACTCTGATGTGAAGGAGGAACTCTGATGTGAAGGGGAATCTCTGATGTGAAGGGGGAACTCTGATGTGGAGGTGGGACTCTGATGTGAAAGGGGAGACTCTGATGTAATGGGAGGATTTTGATGTGAAGGAGGGACTCTGGTGTGAAAGGGGGACTATGATTTGAAGGGGGGACTCTGATGTGAAGGGAGGATTCTGATGTGAAGGAGGGACTCTGGTGTGAAAGGGGGACTCCGATTTGAAGGGGGGACTCTGATGTGAAGGAGGGACTCTGATGTGAAGGAAGGACTCTGATGTGAAGGAGGGACTCTAATGTAAAGGGAAGACTCTGATGTCAAGGAGGGACTCTGATGTGAAGGGAGAATTTTGATGTGAAAAGAGGAGACACTGATGTGGAAGTCTGATGTTAAAGGGTTGGACTCTGATGTGAAAGTGGGGCTCCTGATATGAACTGCGCTCCTGATGTAATTTAGGCCCCTGATACGAAGGTGGGGCTTCTGAACTGAAGAGGGCTCTTGATATGAATGAGGTGCTTCTGATGTGAAGCAGGGCTTGTGATGTGAAAGCACGGGACTCTGATATCAAGGGGGCTCCTATTGTGAGAGTGGGGGGATTCTAATTTGAAAGTAGGGGACTCCTGATGTTAAGGGAGCTCCTATGGTAAAGTGGGACTCTGATGTGAAAGAGGGGCTCTGATATCAAGGGGGGGGGGACTCTAAGGTGAAAAAGAAACTCCATTTTTATGTATTTCTGCATGGGGTCCCCTTCTCACAATCGATACCACACCCCCTGGGATAAGGGTCTGGTAAGGATTTTGGAGCAGCTACATGTCATTTTGTACATCTTTTACATTTCAGATTGGGGTGCTTTGAGATTTTGTAAACTTTTAAAGGTTGCCAAGACTGAAAATAGGTTGAACAATGCTGCTACATAGCACTAATGATTGTAGAAGTCATCTTGGCACGGTATTTAAAGTGACATTAAACCCTCAGATTTTTTAACATAAAACAATACTGTAATGTGCGCCTTACTGTAATCCATGGTTGTTTCCCTTCTCTCTGCTGCTCTTCCTTTTAAATCCTCATGTCTTCTCATGCTTGGGGAGAACTTCCCTTTGCAGCTGAGTGCCTCTTCCTGTAGTGCTGGCTCAGGTTGCAAACCTACACACAGACACCGTGTATCCATTCCAGAGACAAGGCAGTCTGCTGCAAAACAGAAGTTCTGCCCAGCATGAGAAAGGATACAGATTTAAGAGGAAGAGCGGCAAAGAGAAGGGAAGCAACCATGGATTACAGTAAGGCGCACATTACAGTATTGTTTTATGTTAAAAAATCTGAGGGTTTAATGTCACTTTAAGTTAACATGCTGCTGTACTTAATTACATTCAGCTTTGATTAGCTAAATTTATGTGGAGACAGAAACCCTTGGTGACAAAGTGGAAGAAGAATGTACGCATTATAGGGAAGATTAAAGAAGGATGCGAGCGATTCTCCACACAAAACATTTTATTTTTGTAGGTATGGATAGAGTAGTGAAAGGCCAATACCTGGCTAGGTTTTCATTGCTGTGTTTCCATTAAGAGATCTATATATCAATATATGAACATATAAATGCGGGCTCTTTAAATCTGTGGCTTTTAAAAATTAATTTACAACGTCTGAACCATTCCGGGTCATTTACTGCCTGAAGAATGAAGATATAGACCAAGGCCTTTGCAGCTTGGCAAAAAATAATGCAACAAGAGCTCCGATTACTGGTATTACTAATTAATGTTAATATTATTAAAAAGACAAATTCACTTTGCCCACTTAAAGGAGAACTATGAGGTGGGTGCTTTTCACTCACCTCATAGTTCTAGCCGACCTGTGACAATGAGACTGTCACAGGTCGGCTCAGTAGATCGGGAGGTGAGCCAACACATACCGGCATTCGCTCACCTCTCGATCCTGTCACGGCTCTCTGCCCCCCCTCCCTGCTCCGATCCACCAGCGCTGACTGGTGGAACGGATGGGGGAGGGGGCGGGTACAGCTGGCTCTGCCTCTAGATAGGCAGAGCCAGCTGTCACTCACGCAGCTGGGCGGATCTCGACATCGATGTCGGGATCCGCTCCGGCTGCGGCGTCTCAGTATACCGCGAGCTGTAGCTCGCGGTATACTGAGCCTAGGGTGACGGGAGGACGCTAGTTTGTGTCCTCCCATTACCCTAAGGAGAACTATGGGGAAAAGCCCTGACCCCATAGTTCTCCTTTAAGGCAAACCCCACTACCTACCCCAACCCACTGATGGCAATCTCTCACCACTTCTTTCTCCATCCTCCATCAAATGTCAGTGTGGAGAGAGTGGTGGAACCGCCTTCTCCCTCATGGGACAATAGGTTTGTCCACTAGTGCCTGTCCGCTAGACCCCTGTAACCTGGTAGGAGGTTCCATGCACCCCAATATCCGGAAGTGCCTAGTATGTTACACTAGGTGGGAGGTGAGTATCACTGTGTCAGAAAGGGAAAAGAGGGCTTGTCCTAAATGAGTAAAGTGAGAGTGTTTATTTAAAGGAACCTATAATATCATCGCTAACCTCCTTCTGAAAATGTTAATTGTCTGATTGTCTCTGGCTTTAATTGTTTGAGCCATTGACCTGAAATAAGCATTAGGGCTCATTCACACGGGGATCGGCCGGCACGTACAGCTTCATGCTGCGTGCACGGCCGTATCGGGCAGCTCCCAGGAAGGACAGGTGTTGTGTATGATTAGTCCCCTATCCTTCTCTATGGGACTACGCGGCCATACGCCCCCCTACGCTCACCTCAAGTGCAGGTCTGTACGGGTGCATGTGTCCTGGCTTGGACGCAGACAGGATCCATCCTGTCAGTGTATGACAGTGTATGACCCCCACGAATGTGCAGGGCTGATGAGTATAGGGCGGCGTACGACCGCGTAGTCCCATAGAGAAGGATGGGGGCTGCGTACTAATCACACACAGCACCTGTCCTTCCCGGAAGCTGCCCCATACGGCCGCGCACGCAGCACGGAGCTGCACGTGCCGGCCGATTCCCGCTCAAATGAGCCCTTAAAGTTAGACAAACTGAAAGCTAGAACTCCAGATTTCTATATCTGGTCTGGTTTAGTAACTGAGAAAGCATTAAGACCATGGAATCAGCATGAAAGTAGGCCACCTAGCTATTACTTTTATACTTTCCCTCAATCATTTTTATTCTTTGGAGGTTTTGTTTCAGAACACAATAGAGAACCTCCTCTCCACCTTCACAGAGTCTACCTAATTGGATATTTAGTCCACTGTTTAATATGTCTGTTAATGGCTTTCCGAATATCATGATTTCTCAGGCTGTAGATCAGAGGGTTAAACAACGGTGTCAGTAGGGTGTAAAGCAAAGACAGACCTTTGTTGACATTAACAGAGTTGTTGCTTGGTGGGAAAATATAAAGGAAGGACAAAGTTCCATAATAAAGACAAGCAACGGTCAGGTGGGAACTGCAGGTAGAGAAGGCCTTCTGCCTCCCGGTGTTGGACGGGATCTTCAAGATGGTGCTAAGGATGGAGATGTAAGTGACCAAAATGAAGATAAATGGAGAAATGACAACAGGGAAAGATAGAAGAGAAGTGACCAACATAACAACGGAAGTGTCCGAACATGAAAGTTCTACCACTGGAGCAATGTCACAGTAGAAGTGATTGATAATATTCGGGCCGCAGAACTCCAACCTATCTAAAAGAATATATATTACAAATGAGAATGTAAAGCCCACCAACCAGCAGGAGAGAGACATCTGAACTTGAAGTTTGAAGGTCATGATGATGGTGTAATGTAATGGTTTGCAGATGGCCACATGTCGATCAAAGGACATCGCAGCCAACAACAAACATTGATTAATGGTGGGGACACCTAATAAAAACAGCTGAGATATACATCTGTTAACCGATACTCTCCCACAGCCGACCAGTATCAGCCATAACATGCTGGGCACAATGTTGGTAGTGAAGAGGATTTCCGACAAGGACAGTTGGCTGAGAAAGAAGTACATGGGAAAGTGGAGACTCTGGTTGACCAAAACCAAGACGATGACAAGAACATTCCCTGTTACGGCATTGATGTGGATGACCAAACAAAGGACAAAAAGTAAAATTCTGAGTTCATGGAGATTTCCAAATCCCAGAAGCAGAAATTCTGTGACTACGGTTTGGTTCTTCTCCAACATGGCTTGAAGATAAGGAGACAGGAAAGATCAGAGCAAGCTGGGAACAAAAGAAGGAAACACTGAATCCAAAATATCAAAAATATGAAGGAATATATAAACATTATATAAAATATGGTAATATGGATCTTCACTTTATTTTACAATTTCTTCATCGAAAATGGTTAATGTCACACTTCCCTGTGCTATGATCCAGAGCCGGGTTTTGCCTCCTGTCCCAGATGCTCGGCTCCCTGCCAATCCATGCTGAACTTCAGTCTTAAATGTTCAGCTCACTTGTTGCCTTATGTTCGAGTAACAAGTCGTTACCGGACCCCCGTGTGTACTATTTGCCTTGGATACCTGCGAATTGCCATTTATCTGCTTTGTTTCCTGTGTCTCCTGTGATTCCCTTGTGCTCCCTGTGAGTTCCTGCTTCCTGTGAGTTTGTCTTCCACCTGTGTGGCTGTTTGTCCTTACTGCCTCGCTCCTCTGTTATGTAAAGATAGTTGTGTTTTGCTGTCTCTCTGCTGTCTTCTTGTGTTCCCTTCCCACTGTTTGTTTGAACTCCTGATCCTGTGTCCTTGTGTTTGCTGTACTGCTGTGTGTGTGCAGGCTTTGCCCCGTCTGCCTTCCGTCCAGAGCCCCGGTACTGCATCAGTTCCTGAGTCTGTGCGGGTGCACTAGAGGGCCACAACCTGGAAGGTGTCCAGCAGCCAATCATCCTCACCATTAGAGGTGCTGTGGAAGACCTGTCCCTTCTTAGATCCTGCGCCTCTAGTGCATCCCCGATAACGCACAGAAAGTCCATGGTCCCATTGCACTCCTGACCGCAAAAGTCCTTCAGAAAAGTGGGTGCTGCGGTAGTCAACAGGTGGCAGCCGTAACAATCAAGAGTTTCTGCTCCCGATAACGCACAGACCCCTAGTTTCTGAGTCCTCCCCCCTGTACCCCAGGCTTCACTCCAGCACGCTACTCTAGCCTGCTCCACAAAACCCGGAGCTCTCGTGCACCAGTGCCCCGGTTCCCAGACCGTGATAGTTAATAAGGCAGCAATCTGAAAGCTAATTCTAATTTTTAGGAATTATGTTCCATAAACAAGAGCAAAGGTTCCATGTGCGCGCTCCACATATATAATCTCCCATATTTTTACAACTGAAAATGTGGATATAACTGAAGACCCAGATTATCAGTTTCAGATGGACTGACCCTTTAATTCTCTTTGGTTATCTATTGTGACTACTGGTCAGGGTATTGCAGGGCAGACTGAACCAATTTATGAAGTCACACGTTTCCCAGTCCTGTTATCATTGCTGAGTAATGAGAAGTACAAAAATCAACCGTTTTGGTTCCCTTCTTTCCAGCTGTGAAGGAGACAGCTGCATGGAGTTAGAAGCTCTATGCTTGGTGGCATGGCCCTACAGATGTTTCTTAAAAAAGAACTCCAAATCGATTAACTCTTGCAGTGCGGCTACCCCTGCACTGCAATGGTTAACTGTTCTGTTCCTTTTTGTTTAGGTAAAAAAAAAAGTTGTACACACCAGATGCTCCGAGTTGGCTTACTCTTGCACCGGTCCCGTCAACCTCTCTCCCCCTCCTCTGCATCAGTCTAAGGTCCCATAAATTATCACGTTCTATATACACAGTGTATAGATGTGAGGATGCTGAGGAAGTGTACACAGTGTATAGATGTGAGGATGCTGAGGAAGTGTACACAGTGTATAGATGTGAGGATGCTGAGGAAGTGTACACAGTGTATAGATGTGAGGATGCTGAGGAAGTGTACACAGTGTATAGATGTGAGGATGCTGAGGAAGTGTACACAGTGTATAGATGTGAGGATGCTGAGGAAGTGTACACAGTGTATAGATGTGAGGATGCTGAGGAAGTGTACACAGTGTATAGATGTGAGGATGCTGAGGAAGTGTACACAGTGTATAGATGTGAGGATGCTGAGGAAGTGTACACAGTGTATAGATGTGAGGATGCTGAGGAAGTGTACACAGTGTATAGATGTGAGGATGCTGAGGAAGTGTACACAGTGTATAGATGTGAGGATGCTGAGGAAGTGTACACAGTGTATAGATGTGAGGATGCTGAGGAAGTGTACACAGTGTATAGATGTGAGGATGCTGAGGAAGTGTACACAGTGTATAGATGTGAGGATGCTGAGGAAGTGTACACAGTGTATAGATGTGAGGATGCTGAGGAAGTGTACACAGTGTATAGATGTGAGGATGCTGAGGAAGTGTACACAGTGTATAGATGTGAGGATGCTGAGGAAGTGTACACAGTGTATAGATGTGAGGATGCTGAGGAAGTGTACACAGTGTATAGATGTGAGGATGCTGAGGAAGTGTACACAGTGTATAGATGTGAGGATGCTGAGGAAGTGTACACAGTGTATAGATGTGAGGATGCTGAGGAAGTGTACACAGTGTATAGATGTGAGGATGCTGAGGAAGTGTACACAGTGTATCGATGTGAGGATGCTGAGGAAGTGTACACAGTGTATAGATGTGAGGATGCTGAGGAAGTGTACACAGTGTATCGATGTGAGGATGCTGAGGAAGTGTACACAGTGTATCGATGTGAGGATGCTGAGGAAGATTCCATTGCTGCAGTAGAGGAGGAGGCAGGCTGGAGGAAGCACTGTGACAGCTGACCGGCTTGGAGATTCGGGTGAGTATAACTTTCTTGAACCTAGACAAAAACGAGCACCTAACCCTTGGAATGAAGGGGTAGCCCCACTTCCAGGGTTATGTTAAAATGTTTCATAAAGCTTCTTTAAATATGATGGATACCTTGTTCAAATGAGTGATCTGATGTATGTTTAGTTGCTCTATTCTTACTGAGAGATACCCTTAAAAATATAGATCTAGAAAGGATTGTCACCAGCACACCAAAGGTTTTGAAGCAAAAAGTCCTTTATTGACAAATCGCCATCCAATACAAGCACTTTCGGGGTCTCAGCAGTATCCCTTCATCAGGCTCAGGCACCATTCTGAGCCTGATGAAGGGGTACTGCTGAGACCCCGAAAGGGCTTGTATTGGATGGCGATTTGTCAATAAAGGACTTTTTGCTTCAAAACTTTTGGTGTGCTGGTGACAATCCTTTCTAGATCTGCATTGTTCACGGGGCCGTCCGTGGTCACTACAAGCACCCACCTGCTTGGCAGGTTTACTACTATTCCGGTAAGGAGTGCAGCTGGTTCTTGACTACATGTAACCCTTAAAAATATGGCACACATTTATTGCATGCTTCAATTTCTATTGCAGTTTACCTTTTAAGTTATTGTTCTATGTAACGTTTACATTATTGAATGTTTGCTGTAGTTATTGTTTTAAATGGGGATGTACCAATACCGATATCAGTATTGGTATCGGTGCCGATACCGAGTATTTGCGCTCCAATATCTTCCACGATACCAGACCTTCAAATCAGAGGAAGATTTCCTCTGACCAGCAGTGCCACAGGGGAACATGAAGGCGCCTCCATGCTGAACAGTCGGCTCCTTCCTGATTGGTTGGGAAGCCGGTTTCCCGGCCAATCTCAATTCGAGCCGGCCAAACAACATGGAGCCGGCTTCCTGGATAGTAAGGAAGCCGGGCGGACATATCGTTACCCATCACCGGGCTTCCTGATTGCCCAGGAAGCCGGCCCCATGCCAGCAGAAGCACCGGTATCGGTGCATCCTTAGTTTTAAATATCAAGATACCCACTAGAGGGGGGCTCCGTGTCTGACTCGCCATCATTCAGGTTCCTTGCTTAACAGCTGTTGAGCTTTCAGCCACACAGGGAGTGCATTATTTTCAGTGAGTTGGGCACCCCTTACCTTGCATTGTGAGAAGTACATGATGGAGTACATCATACAGATGCATCACTTGACATGCAGGTTTAAGTAAACCCCCAATCATGTTATTTGAAGTAAATGTGTATTTTTAATGTTGCCTTTAAGCCACATTTAAACACCTGCTCTTTGCTGAACAGTATTTTTAAGTTTTTAGTACATGTCCCGCATGTTGGTACCTAGCGTCCCATTATTTTTTTTTACCAAAATCTTACAAATTGTCCTCGACAAAGGACAGAAAAGAAATTACAAGATTCGGGTCCCATAGAATTCAATGGGATTTCCCGCGGCATTTGCTGATTTCAAGTGGTTCACTTGCTGAACAGTATTTTTAAGTTTTTAGTAGATGTCCCGCATGTTGGTACCTAGCGTCCCATTATTTTATTTTTTTAACCAAAATCTTACAAATTGTCCTCGACAAAGGACAGAAAAGAAATTACAAGATTCGGGTCCCATAGAATTCAATGGGATTTCCCGCGGCATTTGCTGATTTCAAGTGGTTCCTGGATTTTCCATGAACTGGCCCAGGCCATTGCCCTCATCACTATTTATAATCAGATATGGCATTTTCATATAGTGACGTTACTGGTTGCCAGGAGTTGGATGTGACGCCGGCCAGAGCATCCCAGGTTGCTAAGAGCCAGGTAGGGAAATGTGTAAGGAGCATCATCTACATCTCCTCGCTCGGCTCTTACCAACCTAAGATGCTCTGGCTGGAGTCCCACCAGCATACACATCTTTCCTCCTGCTCTGGTTACTAAGAGTCGGGCCGGGAGATGTGTATAGAAGCGGGGTGGGGAGAGAAAAAAAAGCTGTTTCCAC